CAAGCCCTCGGGCCTGAAACTTAAACCCTAAGCCCTAAAAGCCCTAAAAGCCCTAAAAGCCCTAAAAGCCCTAAAAGCCCTAAACCCTAAACCCCTAAACCCTAAACCCCTAAACCCTTAAACGCTGAACCCTAACCCCCTGAACCCTAAACCCCTGAACCCTAAGGAGCCTGCAGCCACACAACATACCCTAAGGGTCCAAGTACCTAATAATCAGCTACTCTCCCAAATAGCAACCTACATAACTACTATCCGAAGCCTACGTACATGATTATTGGGTCCTTTGGACCCTTGGGGCTAAGGAGAAACCCTAAGCCCTGAACCCTAAACCCTAAACCCTAAACCCTAAACCCTAAGGAGCTTCCTGGCTCCCACGGTCTGAAACGCTTGATTCACCCGATTGCAACCATAGCTGGGTTTTGGGTTTAGGGTTTCCTGAAAGCCCTAAACCCTACACCGCAGAGCCATGGTTTAGGGTTTAGGGTTTGGGGGTTTGGGGTTTAAGGTTTAGGCTTAGGCTGACCCCAAGCGTCCAAACGACCCAATAAAAAGGTCCTTAGATTTCGGATGGTAGTGATGTAGGTTACTGTTTGGGGGAGTATATGATTGTATGGTGCTTGGACACTTACAGTAACATAGAAGGCTCATCAATCTGTTTTAGGGCTACGGCTTGGCTGTGACTAGTACTCCTGTAAAGCTTCGTGAATTGGAGTTGGTCCTTTTCAATAGAAGCCAGAGCACCCCCTGTTCTTCTACAATACATCTGCGCACTCTGGCTAAAGCCGCACGCAGTGCTAAACCCTAAACCCTAGACTCCTGTCCTAACCCCTAAACCCTACTCAGCTCACGCCACGGAGCGCCAGGCCATGGCTGAGGCAGAAAGAGCACGGCAAGAGGCGACGAAGAAACGTTGACGGTTTAGAGTTCCTTGGGGACCACATGACCATTATAAGTAGAGGCCCTATACCCTTATATTCTGAATCCCTATATGGTATATGAACCTGAAAGCCTTTTGGGGCTCATTTCGTCCTTAAGGTTTAGTGAGCCGCAGGACTCCACTTCCTAAACCCTAAGGGTCCATATACTTAAATAGTATATACCTTGGCCCCAAAGTACCTATATAGGGACTTTAAGGCTTATGTATGTACTAGTTGGGTACATGGACCCTTAGGGTTCCTAAACCAGGAAGCCTGGAAGGCTCTCCGAATCAATTCCGAATCAAGGTTGATTCGCTTTGTCGGCCAAACGGTCGCGTCATTTCATTCCGTTCTGCTTCGTTGTCAGAATGCTTAATATAGGGACCTTAAGAATTCCCAACACTATTTTAGGGGAGTCCTCATTAGAGATACAGTAGAATGGCCCCCAAAACCCTGTTCTAATTATCAAGGCCCGTAGTTTATTCGGACTATGAGGGGAGACTGTGCCAAGGCATTGGCATGTCATATATATATATATATATATGCTCGCCCCCCCCCCATGATCTA